ACCATTACCTTCAATGTGAACTATGTCACTGTTAGACTTGATGGTCTTCTGATTTTATGTCCACAAGAAAGACTGCAGAACAGATCAGATAGGGAACAAAGTTGCATGTTTATTATCACTAATTCAAAAAACTACTAAATTCGATTTAGAATAAACTAAATTAACTATCATAACCTTCACCTAAGTACAAATATACTGGAAGTATTGTCTTTAAAGTCATTGGAAACAAATTCATTAAACCATCTCAAGAGGGTTAAGTCACTTCTGACAGATGTTCCTCTCCTGAGGAATGGATTACTATGTGACTAAAATTTTCATCTTAACGATGGAGGATGTAACAGGCACCAAAACCTGAACATTTATACTCCTCAAAGCAGCTGGAAATTTGCAAACAGATTGTTGCTTCTGATGTTCTATCATAGTTTATGTGAACAGTAGTCTCCAGTTTGTCTCCCTCCAAGATGAGGAAGGGATATTCTACATCTTAGTGAGGAAGCCTGTTAGAAAGCATTAGTCTGTTTTAAAAGTAAAGGCACAGCGTACTACTGTATTGATCCTGATCCTTCAAAGCTATACTACCACTATAGCTCTCATGATCACGAGACAAGTTCTTCTCCATCGGTAGAATTGACTTAGATCAGGATGGAGTTCAAAGCCATATGACATGCATCATGCATATACCTATGTCAGCGGTAGACGTAAATATATATATATATATATATATATATATATACACATTCATTTTTCTTTGAGTATTGCCATCAATGCACGATGCGTACAACCATAAGACTTCCCTAGAAGGTAACCTAAAATAAATGGCTACTTAAGAAATGGGATACAAGCCTACAAAGAAAAAAGAAAAGCGTCACAGATTTGACAGAATTGAGAATTCATATTTATATTTATCAAAGAAAATTCAATGTATGAAGAATGAAGCATCACAAATTGTCCTGCAGACAGTACCATACCTGCTTAAACCTCTCCTTAGTCTGCTCTGCCTGCATTTCAATATTTCGCCTTTCAGAAACAATTGAGTAATTGACAAATGACTGTAAATAAATACAATTCTATATGAATCAAATCATTATGGAACAACGTACGTTTACTTCACGTCCAGTGCTGCTTTTCTTGGCCTCAAGTTTCATCTCCAGTTCGTCCAAGATCACCAAAACAAAGACATAACTCAGGTCAAGGACTCGGATACTGATTTGTCAGTTCCAAGTTTTGCCAATTCAGTTCCGACAAAAGTGTAGCCATCTTTGCTGCTGGATAACCAAGAAGAGTGCCGCATGTCCCTAGTACATGCCCAAAGATTCAGACGGACTAAGGGCATCATGGTCAACACGTTCATGGAACTAGAATCCCATGCAGTGAAGTCCTTATCTGATGGTAAGACCCCGCCAGTCTACCCAGTGGGACCTGTCCTCAACCTCAAGAGTGGTGAGGGGAGCCACAAATCCGATGCTATCATGAGGTGGCTCGATGATCAGCCACCATCATCGGTGGTGTTCTTGTGCTTCGGGAGTATGGGAAGCTTGGGTAAGGATCATGTGAAAGATATTGCATATGCATTGGAGCGCATTGGCTACCGTTTCTTGTGGTCTCTGCATCAACCTCCACCAAAGGGAAAGTTAGAGCTTCCAAGGGAATATGAGAATCCAGAGGAAGTCCTGCCGGAGGGATTCCTGGAACAGACTGAAGGGACGGGAAAATTGATCGGTTGGGAGCCGCAAGTGGCGGTGTTGTCACACCCGGCGGTGGGAGGATTTGTGTCACACTGCGGGTGGAATTCTACGCTAGAGAGCGTGTGGTGTGGAGTGCCCATGGCGGCATGGCCTCTATATGCAGAGCAGCAAATGAATGCTTTTGAGATGGTGAAAGAGCTGGAGTTAGCAGTGGAGATCAAGATGGACTATAGGAAAGATTTTAGAAAAGATTTTAATCAAGTGCCCTTGACGGCGGAGCTGATAGAGAGCGGTGATGAAAGAAAAGAGCAGAGAATCCATGAAGGATGGTGGGTCATCCTACATTTCTTTAGGACATCTGATTGAGGACGCGATTAAAAAAATGGATTTCCACTCTCAAAAATCCATTGATCATGAATAAATGACGTCTCTCAGTGCATAGAATTCACTCTTCCAAGAACTTTGGTGGTCTTTGCTTCTTTTCAACTGGAATCAGGTTCTACATGAGCTGCATGTGAAGTAAATACAAAACAGGAAGTTAGATCTGTTACGAGCTATCAAATGCATCTGTATTGTTTTAATAAAAAAATGATATTAACATAGGCCATCCCCTTAGATAGGATGTATATATATTGCAATTATTGCTAATCCTATTTGTTGAGAGAGAGAGAGAGAGAGGGAGAGAGAGAAATATATATATGAAAATGTATGTGTTATTGAGTAAGTAATACAATAATACAATGGTGTTTATATAGGAGAAGCTACGGGAGTAGGTGAGTGGAGAATAAGTAAACCCCTTATATGGTAATTTTATATATAGTAAAGAGGGGTAAGTGACAACTCATACAATACTGAACAACACTCCCCCTTAAGCTGGAGAGTAAATGTCAATAATTCCCAGCTTGCTACATATGGAATCAATAGAGTTCCTGAGAAGCGCCTTAGTAAATATGTCTACCAGCTATCTACCAGAAGGAACAAAAGGTGTAACAATCTCATTTGAGGCAACTTTAGATCGAATGAAATGGAAATCTACTTCAATGTGTTTAGTCCTCTCATCGTAGACTAGATTGCTAGTAATATGAATAGCTGCCTGATTGTCACAATGGAGAGGAATTGGGTACTGGACTGAAATTCCAAGTTCCTGTAAAAGAGTTTCAATAAAGTAAGTTCACATGCAGTGTGTGCCATGGCACGATACTTTGCTTTAGCACTGGAATGAGCCACAATTGACTGTTTCTTACTCCTCCAAGTTACTAGATTTCCTCCTATGAAGGTGCAGTAACCCGTAGTGGACCATCAATCAAAAGGAGAACCGGCCCAATCTGCATCTGTGTATCCCTCAATTCAAAGATGTCCAGAAGATCGATAAAGTATCCACGTCCCGGAGCACCCTTAAGATACTTCAAGATGCGTACAACCGCCTCCATGTGAGGTACCCGAGGACTTGTCATGAACTGGCTCACAACACTGACTGCATAGGAGATGTCTGGACAAGTGATTGTAAGGTAAATAAGTACCTACAAGTCTCCAATACATCTCTAGATCATCGAGTGGGTCACCTTCTCCACCTTAAGTTTTACATTAGTCTCCATGGGTGTAGCTACAGGTTTCGAACCAAGATATCCAGTATCCTGTAAGAGATCAAGAGTATACTTCCGCTAAGAAAGACTAATGCCTTGCTTCGATCAAGCCACCTCAATTCCTAGAAATACTGAAGTTTGCTCAAATCCTTAGTAAGGAAGCTAGAACTCAAGTGATGAATTAGAACTTGTATACCATCTTTGTCACTGCTGGTGACAACGATATCATCTACATACACCACAAGAATCACAATACCACGTTTCATTTTTTTTAAAAAAAAAAGAGAAAGTAGTCAGCTTGGCTTCTGGTCATACCATGAGCTACCACTGCTTTACTGAACTTATCAAACCATGCACGAGGGGACTGTTTAAGGCCATAGATAGACTTCTTGAGATGACACAAACACTCCCCCTTATACTCAAACCCAGATGGTTGAGTCATATAGATTGTCTCAGTAAGGTCACCATGTAGAAAGGCATTTTTAACATCAAGTTGATGAAGTGGCCAGTCTAGATTAGTTGCAAAAGAGATTATCACACGAACAGAATTCAGTTTGGCCACAGGAGAGAACGTCTCAGTATAATCAAGGCCAGTCTGGGTGTAGCCTTTAACAACAAGTCGAGCTTTGAGACGATCAACAGTACCATCAAGCTTCTGTTTAACACTAAAAACCCAACGACAACCAACAACCTGAGTATTAGCAGGCTTAGGAACAAGGTCCCAAAGTATGATTCAATTTTAAAGCGTTTATTTTTTCTTCCATAGTTTTCCTCCACCCTGGATGAGAAAGTGCCTCCCTGTAGGACTTAGGAAGAGCAATATAGGATAATGACAAAGAAAAAGCTTGAAAGGAAGAGGACAATTTATTATACGATACAAAATTGGAGATAGGGTGATTTGTACAAGACCATTTACCTTCCCGAACAACAATAGGTTAATTAAGATCAAAGTCTAGAGAGATGGAAGAATCTCCAGGCGTTGAAGCGATTGGTGGAAGTGACAAGGTTAGGTTTACTATTTCAGTCGCTGGAACATGATTAACTACTTTTTACCGGCGACGAGCATAGACACGAAGAGCTGGTGGGATATCATAATAAAAAACTGGAAGAACAGACTCTTGAAGAACAGAGTCCTCCAGATGACTGCCTTCCTCGGAATAATAAGGAACATCCTCAAAGAAAGTTACATCTGCACACACAAATTGTTTACGAAGAGTTGGACTGTAACATTTATATCACTTTTGAGTGTGAGAATAACCTAAGAAAATACATTTGTGAGCACGAGGATCAAGTTTGTCTCGTCCTAGGCTTAGATTATGAACAAAACAAACACAACCAAACACCTTTGGAGGAATGGAAAAAGCGTTTTTTTCAGAAAACATCATTTGGAAGGGTGATTTTCCTTGAAGGACCCTAGAAGGCATGCGATTAAAAGATAAGGAGCAACCAGAACTGCATCCGCCCAAAAATGTTTTAGGACATGCATTTGAATTATTAAGGCACGAGTGATAGCTAGGAGTGGGCCATTCTTCCGTTTAGCAACTCCATTTTATTGAGGGGTGTCAACACAAGATGTTTGATGGATAATGCCCCTCGACTCAAGAAAATTTTGAAAAATATTAAGTTTATATTCAAGGGCATTGTCAGTTCTAAGAACAAGTAATTTTGCATCAAACTTGTTTTGAATTTCAGTATAAAAGGATTGAAAAACAAAGAAAACTTGAGATCTATCTTTAAGAGTATAAACCCAAATTAAACGTGAATAATCATAATAAATGACACAAAATAACGAGCACCAAATAAACCAGTAGTACGAGCTGGTCCCCAAACATCCGAATGTACTAACTCAAATAGTTTTAAACTTTTATTATCAAAATGAGACTTAAAAGTAGCCCGACAATGTTTACTAAGTTCGCAAGTGGTACAATTAAACTTAGAAAAATCAACTAAAGAAGGGACCAAGGCTCGAAGACTATTTGAAGAATGATGTCCAAGGCGGCAATGCCACTGGTACGCTGAAGAGGAGGTGGAACGTAGAGTTGTCGGAATAGTAGTTGGCTAGAGTAGTAAAGACCATCCTTCTTAATCCCCCCACTAATCGTCTTCTTCGTCTTGAGATTCTGAAAGACACAACGGGAAGGAGAAAAAGTAACTGAGCAATTTAAATATGATATGATTTTGCTAACTGACAATAAATTAAATGAAAATTGAGAGATATGTAAAACTAATGAAAAAGTGAGACCTGAAGTGCGAAAGGTACCAATTCCATGAACTAGTGATTTCGCACCATTCGCTACAGTAACAACCGATGGTGAGAAAATATGAGAAATATCAGAAAGAAGAGATGGGTCACCTATCATGTGATCGGATGCCCCTGAATCAATGATCCAAGGTGTAGAAGATGAGGCATAGACACACGTATTACCTGAAGTAACGATAGTAGCGGTGGAGGGCTGATTTGCACGATCATGCTTTACCAGAGAATCATATTCGGCTTTGGAGAGAACGACTTTCAATTTGGTACTGGTGATTGACCCAAGATGGGATTCCTTAGTACACATCACAAAAGCACGAACAAATGAGATATAGTAGCAAGAGAGAGCCGAGATAAAAGAAGCAAGATCTAGTTGAGATGAACCCCAGAGAAATTAACGAGGAGAGATCCGAGAGAGATTGCCAAGACGAGAACTGAGATCACTGAGGAGAGATCGTTGAGAAGAGATTGAGAGAAAGCTGAGATGGAATCAAGATCGGAGTCTGAATAAGACTAAAATTTTTTTTTGTAAGAGGGATCGATTTTCGCTCTGATACCATGTTGAAAGAGAGAGAGAGAGAGAGAATATATGAAAACGTATATGTTATTGAGTAAGTAATACAATAATACAATGGTGTTTATATAAGAGAAGTTACGGGAGTAGGTGAGTGGAGAACAAGTAAACCCTATACATGGTAATTCTATATATGGTAATGAGGGGTAGGTGACAACTCATACAATACTGTACAACACTATTGTATTGAAGTATTTTACCATTATAAGATGACTATCACGTGCAACACAAATTCTATTTTCTAGAAAGCTATCCTCACACACACACAAAGAGAGAGTGAGAACTGACTCAAATGAAAGCTAATTTCAATTGTGTGCCTGTAAACATGTTATATAAATTCAAATGATAGCATGGACCTAATTTTTATTTTCTGATCTTACATTCCATCAGAAGAAACAGAGAGCACATACTAGTCTTAAACCAGAAAGCATTCTTTTATATCGTTTCCCTCTCTCAGATACTATGGTTCCAAATATATAGAACTCGGCAACGTAATGGAGTACTAAAGCTACCGTGAATATATTGAAATGAAAGCACAAGTTGGACCACAAACACAATATATATCAGAATCAAACAAATTAAAAACAAAGTCTTCTCTCAACTAGTTGGGTTTCTTATAAGAATCCTATTTTTACTTTAGTTTATTTAAGGTCATAGCCCCGGTCAAACCACGTGTTATCATATTTTTCCTTACTAACTCTAGCCATATTAATTTTGGCCTTTCCTTTCATCTACCATTACCCTCAATGTGAACCATGTCACTGTTTCATCCAAACCATCTTAATCAATTTTATCTCATTTTATGTCCAGAAGAAAGACTGCAGAACAAATTGGATAGGGAACAAAGTTGCATGTTTATTATCACTAATTCAATAAAGTACTGAATTCAATTTAGAATAAACTAAATTAACTATCATAACCTTCACATAGCTACAGATATATTGTAAGTCCAGTCATTAAAGTCATTGGAAACGAATTCAATAAACCATCTCAAGACGGTTAAGTCACTGGTGGCAGATGTTTCTCTCCTGAGGAATGAATTACTATGTGACTAAAATTTTCATCTCAATGATGGAGGATGTAACAGACACCAAACCTAAACATTTATACTCCTCAAAGCAGCTCAAAATTTGCAAACAAATTGTTGCTTCTGATGTTCTATCATAGTTTGTGTGAAAAGTAGTCTCCAGTTTGTCTCCCTCCAAGACGAGGAAGGGATATTCTACATCTTAGTGAGGAAGCCTGTTAGAAAGCATCAATCTGTTTTAAAAGTAAAGGCAAGTATATTTGTAAGATGAACCATATAAAGACTACACTGTACTACTGCATTGGTCCTGATCCTTCAAAGCTATGCTACCACTATAACTCTCATGATCACGAGACAAGTTCTTATCTACCGGTAAAATTGATTTAGATCAGGATGGAGTGCAAAGCCATATGACATATGCCATATGCCATGCATCATGCATATACCTATGTCAGCTGTAGACGTAAATGTATATTTATTTTTTAGGATTTTTTCTTCTAATTTTAGGAATTATGTTATTAAGTATCTATTTTTATAATTGTTGTTTATCATTTTTGACAATATCCATCTTTGAAAATATAGTAATAAGGGTTATGTCAGGGTTGCCCATGATTCTGCATATAAATAATGCCATTATAAGAGGATTATGCATGTCTATTGATTGAATATTTATTATTGAAATACGATTCCCATCCTTAAACGGCTTTCTCTTCCTCCTCTTCCGTATCTTCCTCTTATTGTCTCTGCTCTTTTGTCTCCTCTATTTCTCCTCTCTCATTCATCAATTGGTAACAAAGCTTTTTCTTTATCCTACATCAATAGGTGACCAGAGGGAGAAGTTCGGATGACCGAAAGATTGAAGAAAGAAAATGGTTTTTGTCAATAGCAGTGTCACTAAATAATGTGTGGAGTTTCTCAAACCTAAAATTTCAATTAAAGGACGACTCGTTATGTAAATATTCTAAATCTTTTGTTTTAAACAACAACAGTTTGTCATACCAAGGAATATGTTCCAATTCTCATTTTAATTATGGTTTATTTGTACATATAGAAAATGAAAATGGGATTGACAAGTGCTATCACATATTAAAAAACAATTAACGGCATATCCTCTACTTTCTAAAATCTCTATATACATACACCCTTAGGAAAGTCTTTCATTTTAAATTAACTTTAAAAAGCACTTCTCCATGTGATTCATTTTCTATAGATAAAGGGAGATCATTTGTTTAATACTATGCCAAGTTGTTGGGATTATGTGTGTTCTGTGGAGTAGAATTCAGTTAAGAGACAAGAATTAATTTTAAAAAATACAAACTTATTCACATAAAAATATTCCCCGCCAATAATCAAACCATCCTATCCATTTAGTGAGAGCAATAGTTTTTCAGTTTTCTCAACCAAGCTTGCATATATTTGGAACTTCTATACAACAAGAAGCCCTTTTCCCAACTACTTGGGATCGGCTATATGAATCCTATGTTTCCATTCCGCTATGTGAAAGGCCAGGCAGACCCTCCGAGTTACATGTAAAATGTGGTCACAATAAAAGAAACACAATAAATAAAGCTAGGAAGACACCCTTCTAGTGTCGCCAAAAAGCGTTATTCCAAATATGCATTGTCATGATAACATAACATTTTTTCGCCTTGAATTCTTCCTTTAACATTAGGTGGAAAAAAAACAAAGGGGATATACAAGCCGAGAAAAAGAAAAGCTCAAAACACTAACAAACATCTAATTAGACATGGACAGTTAACATTAGGTGGAAAAAAAAGAAAGAACTGAAAATTCATATTTATATTTATCAAAAAATAATAATAATAATAACTCAATGTATGGAGAATGAAGTCTCACAAATTGACCTACATAGAGTACCATACCTTCTTAAACCTGTCCTTAGTCTGGTCTGCCTGCATTTCAATGTTTCTCCTTTCAGAAACAATTGAGTAATTGGCAATTGATTATAAATAGATACGAATCTAAAATGAATGGAATCATGATGGAACTGCAGGTCAGCCCTACGATGTTTTTTTTATGATATCTATTAATGACCACCAAAATGCAGAGAAATTGACTGTTAAAAAAAAAAAAAAAAAAACACACCAGAGCACACACACAACAATAACAACCACAACAACCAGTTGAAGAGCATGATAAGCAAAAGAAAATGAAAAAAGGAGAAGAAAAAAATTCATCGAATTACTGCTTCCATGCCCAAAATCAATCATTGTTAGCAATCTAATTTGGCTAAAGAATGAAAGCTCCAAACAAGCAAGTATTCAGAGTCAAATTTGGAAATTGAGTAGCATGTAACATATTAATAAAATGAAAAGAATCAATTGCCAATTGGGAATCTTAGATTAACTGAACTGAAGGTGTGACTAACAAATTTAATCACAAACTTACAAATGAAATTCTGTAAATTAAGTATGCTTTCTTCATATGGAATATACCCAAACTTTCACCTTCAGCAACGGTAATTAGCTAGGAATGATATCGAGAAATTGAGGTCAAATTCTGACCCTAAAACAAAATGAAATGTAGACAAAAACAATACCTCTTCCTTCAGAAGCCTTGTGGTGGATCGGCCAACGAACCCATTGTTGAAGGCGGCGGGAAACGGCTCAGTATCGCCATGGATGTTATTGAGGAGCTCCTCCTCCATGTTCATGGAACCAAAACTCTTCATCTCATCGGTTTGGAAACCGGGGACTTTATATATATATATATATTTTTTCAAAGGCAAAAACAACCCCAACACAATAAACCAAAAGAACCACAACCTACCAAGACCCACCCTCTGCCACCACAAAAGGGACGACAGAAGGAGGAACATAAGACAACACAGATCGGACATAATCCCAAACCGCAAAAGAGCTGTAAAAACATGAGCCACCCGATTACCCTGACGACGCACATGAGTCAACTGAAGCTGCTTGAAACCGTCGCAAGTCGCGAGCAATTTTGTACTAATTTGAGGGAATTTTGTACTAAGGAGTACGTAGTAATATATAATCCCAATCCGTCGTTGTCAGTGAAATATTTTACAAATTTTTTTACGAAACTCCCTTCAAGTTTGTCAATATTATACAAAGGTACCCATCCATGTTAGGTAAGTAATTACACAACGTTCTACAAATTGATCAGTACAAACCCCTCGGCCGTGTCCCATGAGTCACAACCTAAGTCACATAAAATGGGAATGGGAGCGGGAGCGGGAGCGGGAGCGAGAGCATGAGAGTGGCTGAATTAAGTCATAAATAGTGAGAATTTGAACTAGAACGCGGGTGGAGCGTGAGAGGGACACCTGTTGAGAATGATTGTGCGGCTTAGGTCACAACCAACCCCTTACCTTCCTTCCACCTGCTACATGCCTTGGATGGATTTGAGGTTTAACTTGAGACTGACCTACCATATGAAATATTAAACCCAAACTCAATCCTAACCCTAACTACTCAATTCGCACCCAACTCATCCTTCTACTTTTAAATTTGGGCTTGTAACTCGGTAGATTCGGGGTTAAGCATTCGGGTTACTCATACAACTAATTTTTACATCCAAAATTTAATATGAACTTGAATTAGTTTTAGATTAAATTAATCTTTAAAAAAAAAAAAAAGTTCTAAATTTTTACTAAATTACAAACAAATTCTTAAAAAATTCATTTTCTTAAATGTTAACATACAATAAGTTATGATTTAATAAAGGAAGTTGAAAAAAAAAAAGAGGTTATCATAGTTTAAATATTATATATAATGTATTTAAAACTAAAAATATATATATGAAAACAATATTAAAACTCTGGTTCGGGTTGGCTCGGGTTGCTAGTATCTCAACTCAAATTCAACCTTATTTATATTTGAGTTAAGATTTTTCAACCCAGGCTCAATTTTAATTATAAAAATAATTATCCAAACTCATAGAAAATCGTACTGATCTCAAATTGAGTTTGGGTTGTCCAACCCAAGTTGCACCCTTTTCAACTTCCTAAGATAAATGCAACAAAATCTATCAATAACTCATTCGGGGTAAATTAGTTAGCATTTATAATACAAGAATACACTCAAAATTCTCAAACTTAATTAACGTATGATGCAGGTCATGCATTCATGGGATTGATCAATTTAATTGAAAACGAGATAATTCAATCACACGCTTTTAAATCCTATCTCTGTCCTCTCCCACCAATTATCATTAACTACTAGTCATTGCCAAGAAAGAAAAAAGAAAAAAGAAAAAAAAAAATCACACGGTGAAAGATGAGTTATAGAGCTTTAATTGAAGCTTCTCGATGCCCCAAACTTTGAAAATTAGATAAATAAGGAATTGTGAGCTTTGAAGCATGGGGTCTTTTCTTTTTTATAAGAGTGTATATTTATGAGATAATTCCTAAGAAATGGAGTCAAAATTAACTTTTTTATAATGATGGAGTTTTATCAAAATCTGATCTCGAATATTATCTGTTGATTCCCAAACTATCTATGGTATTGTTGTTAAAAATTATACTACTACCCCTCACTAACTTTATTAATTGATTTGTCATCTCTCTCTTCATCACTCTTTCACATAAAAAAAATTACGGACTAAGATCATCTAAGTTAAAAACTCTCTACATTATTCTAAGTTGAATTAATAAGACGTTGACACGTGGCATTCTTAGTATATCTGGGACTTATATTATTCTACATCATAAAATTGAATAAAACATAAAAAATGGTCGTGTTTTAGAAGTGCAGAAAACACACTGTCTACTAATGGCGTCTCCAACTCATTCTCTCTCTACACACGTCTTAAAACTCTCATTATAATTGTATAGAGGTGGTTTTCATATTCTTTTTGGATTGAAAACTCTATCCCCTAGATCGACCCTATCACCTTGAGTTTCTGCTTTGTAATTGTGTAATTCCTCAAGGTACTCGATATCTATCTCAGGTTATGGAGTGAAAAACCATATGCACTTAAATTCACCAAGTAAAAACGCACAACCTTATATGCACAATTTTTATATTTTTTTTCGAAGCAAGAACTTTATGAACAAAATTCTTATACAGAATTTAAAATACAGACCTTCTCAAGATTTTGCAGGAAAAAAAAAAAAAAAAAAAACAGTTTAAAAAGGCAAAGCAAAATCCTAAAATTCAAGACAAATTTGATAACTTGTAACAAAGGCTTATAAGTAAGGTTGTTGTAATCAAAATCGGGTTCTAAAATTATGTCACAGAAATGAAGAGAGGAAATCCATAGGGGAGCCTCTCCAGATTGATTTGCAGAGGATTGGAAGAACATTGAGGGAGAAAGTGTTGGCGACGTCGGTGTTAGTGGATGGCGTCTATTCTTGTGCTTCTAAAACGACATCACTTTTGTAGTTTTATTTAATAAACTGATGTTGCATGATATCAACGGTTGATTTGTATAAAATTCTATATGTCCATATCTTAGTAATTCAACTTAGGATAATGTAGAGAGTTTTTAACTTAGAGGATCCTAGTCCAAAAATTACACCCCTCTATCTGGCCATTGATTTTCATTATACATCACCCCTGGCCTTTCTCTTTGATTTTCATTATTTTTTCTTTTTTATTTTTTATTTCCTGAATGTGTGGATATTATTCTAACAAAATAAATAAATAAAATACATGAAAATACCCTAGAAATAGGAAGAATAAAAAACATGGTAAGGGCATACCCAACCATAAACAATGAAACCACATAGAAACAACCAACACAGCCCCTAAAATAGATAATGAATAAAATCGAAATAGGACCATGGGCAACGACACAAAGGAAAGGCTTTCAAAACAGAACTTCAAAGTCAGAGATCGATAATCCCATAGCAGTCAAGCCTTCAAAGCATGCTTCCATAGCCAAAAGATGAGGAGTTTGAGAAGCTCCCCCATGTACTCTATGATTTTTTTATTTTAGGTTTGAATTCATTTCGTTTTGGATTTTTGTTTACAGGCTTTGCCGAATCATCGAACTATAATGAAATTATGGAATCAGCAAAATGTAATGAAATACCAAAGAATAAAAATAAAAAAATAAAAAATAAAAATGGTAATGAAATTGTGGAATCAACAAACTATAACAGCAAACTGTGATGACTTATAGTGAGCACGTAGACAAACAATATTAATAGGTTTTCATAATAAAATAATTCAAAGGTTAAACAAAATGCATTTAAAATATCCTATTGTGGTAGTCTCCTTATAGTTTCAACGATTATGACCAGGCTGACGGCATCGCAAACAATGTATCGACCTTACATTTTGAAATTGTAATTCAATCTAACTCGCACGGGGTCGTCCAGTGGGACGTCTTACCACTAGAGGCCTAAGATTGGAAGTATCTTCATTATCACCACATATCACCGTCATATTATGCATGTGGACCGAAGACATGAGATGTCCACATAGCTTCTTCTCTGTTTCAACCCTAAACCATTATTCATCCATATCATAAATATTCAAAGAATACTTTTAAATGGCATAATAAGCATGCGAACAAGGAATCCCAGTCATGCTCCAAGCCAAACAACTACAATACTGTTTAGGGATTAAAATCACCATGAATGGTATCCTTTGTCGATCATATATTGTTCACTCAGTACTGGAAACACGAATCAAACAGGTTGAAGCAAGGCTAATGACAACGACGCATTTCTTATTTGTTTTAGAAATGTAATTTGATGTATATGGGTATTTACTGCCATTTCATATTGTAGTTCATTCGGATGTAGTAATTGAGGTGACATGTTATCTTTGGGAAATGTAATTATGAGTATGTAATATATTTAGGATAATTGTATTTTATACTTAGAGAAAATCATGTAATGAGGCCATAAAGTCACTTTTATTTCAAATGAGTATTGTTTCCATCTTATTTTGCTCACTTAAAGATGTATGTTGCACACACATATTTAGGATTCACTATGTTCATACCATATTTCATCACTTGAGAGGTTTTAGATTTAGTTTTGGGATCATATATATGCATAAGAATGATTTAGGGTGCCCATGGACCTTTCTGGAAGGTTATTTTTCATTCTGTTTTGTTGAGATCGATCTTAGGTTCATTGGGATCGATCTTTGGTTCGTTGAGATCGATCTCATATTGTGCTTCCAATTGCATTTTTCATTCTATTTTGTTGGGATTCATCTTAGGTTCACTGGGATATATCTTTGGTTCGTTGAGATCGAACTTAAATCCTGTTCACAACACTGTAGAGCTGACTTCAAACGGCCATATCTTGTCCATCTTAAATCCAAATTAGGTCATTCTTGAGTTCACATTAACCGTATTGAAACAAGCTTTCCAATGGTACTAGTCTCATTCCAAAATTCCAACCATGGAATGAGTTATGATCATTTTAGTGAGGATGCATGGGTCATGTTTTTCATATGTTAAAAATGGCGGTTTGTATCGAAACCATTCCTCTAGGGCCAGAACCTCATGGGATGTTCATAAATGTTTGGTATGACATTAATTAACTTCATTTTATTAATCTTTTGGGTCACATTAGCCATGTAGGCTAATGCGGGCTTTAGCTTCCGTATTTGTGATTGTTTTGTTTTTTTTTATTCTTTTATTGTTAACTTCCGAAGTTGTACTCGTGCTCAAGTCTTGTTAACTTCGTTTGAGATTATTTTGTTGTCCTAGAAATGGTATTTGTCTCTAGCAACAGTTCTATTCATATTTCTTTCCGCATTCAGGTTTGGTTTTCGGGTTGGGCTCTGACCTTCATAGTTAACGCACCAGATCATGAGATTTGGAGCGTTACACAACTAGTTCAAGAAAAAATTGAACTGATTCCATCATTACCACTTCTTCCAAAACATTACTCGCACACTTAATTTGAGCCACAAAACCCAATAAAAATAAGAAGAGAAATCATATTATCGAAAACCCTGATAATAACGAAGGTTAAAAAAATCATTTCTCTTTCATTTTCATAGTTGATCGAGAGTTCTTT